GTGTGGGACACGGCCGGTGGGGGCGCTGCCGTGTGCGACAACAGGTCCAGGCGGAGGCAGTTCTCCGGGACGCAGGCAGGGCAGGTGCTCACTGGGCAGAGTGCCGCTTAGACACCTCCAGGAACTCGAGCACGTCGTCGGGGGACCCCAAGATCACCGGCGCCCTCTGGTGAATGTCTGTGGGAACGACGTCCAGCACGGCCTCCTTCCCGGTGGTGGCCATTCCCCCGGCCTTCTCCATGACGTAGGCCATGGGGTTGCATTCGTACAGCAGTCGCAGCTGGAAAACAAGACCAGGACCGGCCTCCTCGTGTCAGAAACTATTGCATGAAAAAGAGACTCTTCTGCAGCAAGACGTGCAGAGCTGGTGGGAGTTTCCAAGGGAACGAATACTGTATTTTTCCTTCCTGTGAGGCTGTACAAGTTTCCTCCCACCCCAGGTTGCATCTGAGACAAAACATTAACCATGTGGTTAAATTCAACCATTCATCAAGCCAGTGCCAGGAACAGATTACCTGATGCACATGTGAGACAGACCACCTGCATACTGGACAGAACGACAGTTTGGCAGAAGTGATCATTACCTTCTCTTTATAGCATGGAAACGGGACTTAATGAGTGATTCTGTGTGTGTTGGATGGAGCTTCGCCTACTCTAAAAGCACTGAAAAAATCCACGGTGGTGTCTGGCCGCAGACATCTGGAGAGCAGACCGGCCCCTCCAAACACTGTGATATTGTTTGCAGCTCTGTGTGCATTCCGTTTACGATTCTCCCAAGGCTTTTGGGTTGGAATTCGGGGTATTATACGTCTTGGCATTGACTTTTAAATATTAACTTTTTTATCGTTTGCCTTTTCATGCCGCCTGCCTACTGAGTGACGGCTTTCCGCAGGTGTTTCCCGACTCTATTTCCTCATAGGTGTCATGGCTAGTTTTGAAAAACCAAAAAAAAGGAGCCTCAGTATTTGTGTTCAGGAGCAATTCGGGGGGACTTTAGAGAAAAGTGCTGGAAAGCAGGCTAACCACATAGGTTGAGATGCCCGAGGCAGCTACGGCTGGATGATGGTTCCAGTAAATAGAAATGCCTTCATTCTGGATGCCACCTGCTACAAACAGACCCAAATACATCCAAATACACAGGTTTCCAACTAGTTTAAGGGGCCTGTTGTTCCTGTTCTCCTCTTGCATTAAAAAAAAAAAAGGCAGCCATGCGTGGTGGCTCATGCCTGTAACCCCAGCACTTTGGGAGGCCGAGGCGGGTGGATCGCTTGAGGTCAGAAGTTCAGGACCAGCCTGGCCAACATGGTGAAACCCCATCTCTACTAAAAATATAAAAATTAGTTGGGCATGGTGGCAGGCACCTGTAATTTCAGCTACTCAGAACGCTGAGGCAGGACAATCACTTGAACCCAGGAGGCGGAAGTTGCAGTGGACCGAGATCACGCCACTGTACTCCAGCCTGGGTGACGAGTAAGACTCTGTCTAAAAAGCCATCTGTCCACTGGGAAAACATAGGAAGGACACAATACTTGGGAAGGAAGCACACTGTCACCCTGGCAGAAGGAAAGCAGGAGGCTCTGAGTGAGCACGGAGAGCACAAGGAAAGCAGGAGGCTCTGACTGAGCACGGAGAGCACAAGGAAAGCAGGAGGCTCTGAGTG